AAAAAAAAACAAAAAAAACAAAACATAGGGAACCACCCCACCCTCCGCCTCGTGATGCTTAATCAACATAATCTACTTTAATTTAATGGATGTCTAAAAAAAAAATGCACATAAATCAATTATTTTTCCATCAATTCAACATCTTACTTCAACAGAACTGCAGACTGCACAGGTGGTGCCTTCCAAAAGCAAAAAGTACTACAGCTTAGTATTGCACTTAATAGTTACAGTAATGCACTTCTATACATCTTACATCAGATGAAAACTTTGGGTGTAAGATTCAGATAATTATTTATTAAAAGCTCGACATGACAGAAAAAGAAAGAAAAGTATGTCTTTGTGCCCCCTTTTCCCTGTTCATGCCCTATCGGCCCCCCTGGCTAAACTTTGCTAGATCCGCCCCTGCACAGTTACATCAGCAGTAGAAAAAGATCCTCGAGTAGAAAGTAATATTAAATCAATTCTAACAACAGCTGATCAAGCTTAAACGTGCAGCTGTTGTTCAGCCGCTGGTTTCCTCTTTCTGGTGCAAAGTGGGCCAAAAACAAAGAAGAGAGACGATCAGCTGATCATTGATCAGTTTCATGATTGAAGTAGCAGCAGCAGAGAGAGAGAGGCAGTCGCTCCATATATCGGTTGTTAAGCTTAACGCTGGAATGCTTTACAAACACTCAGAGATGAACTTACACACTTGCTTTACTTCTCTGGGATCACTTCCTCGGAGATGAAATGCTGGTTTGGTAGCGACGCTACAAATGCTCAACCAGGTCTCGCACGCCACAGCCGCTCTATCACGTGAGCACACTGCTCCGACGTGCTACGGTTATGAGCCGAGTTACGCCATGTCACAAGTTTTGTGAGGTGCTTTGATGATATTTAATGGATCGGATTACATTTTTTATTTCTCTCCGATATCGATCCAGTAATTTAGGTCAGTATCAGACCGATACGTGATATCGGATCGGTCCGTCTCTAGTTTTTAGTTCCTTCCTCAGTCTCTAGACTTCATTTAGACTCCTGCAGCAAATCTACATCCAACTCACGCATTAACCACAAAACCCTTTTAACTCCCACACAGCAACGTTTCACGCCATCCAAGTTGCCGTGGTATGTGTCGGCCTAATGTGTAGTCAGATGCACATCAGGTTATGTAAAAGGTTTTAGGTTAGGGTTAAACTGGGGTTCTGGTTCTGGTGTAAGCCATAAACCCGACGCAGAAGTACAATTCAAGTTTAGGAGTAACTGATATTTAGTGTCGGAGTTCCATCCATCCTTTCTTTCCCGCTTATCTGGGGCCAGGTCACCGGGGCAGCGGTCCAAGCAGGGAAGCCTCCTCCAGCGAGTCCTGGCTCTGCCTGACAGTCGATTTAGAAATTAGCTAATTTTTCTAACTGTCGTTAAAACTGTTGTTAAGTTATGAGTCACGCACAGCTCAGAGCTGGAGGTCAAGCAGGAATGCAGAGCAACCGGGGAATTAACAGCTTCACGTTCACGCTTTGCTACATTGGGAATGAGGTGGGTTGAGTTTGGCGTGGGGAGTTTCAAGCTTGTTTTGGATCTCTGGTCCTCGAGTGGAGCAGGTCTGCTGTGGCTGAGAGAGCTGAGAAAATGAAACGGACCAAACTCACAGCTCTGATCATGTTGTCCTCAGTGTCAGTGACACGCCAAACACCAGCATTCCCACTGATTCAATGCAACTGGTGTAAATGCAAAAGAAAAAAAGCTTCTGAAGCTTTGCTGTTCTTGAAGGATGGGGAGCAGGTCGTTACCCTCAGGACGCTCAGAGAACTCTTTGGTGATAAAGTGGAACATATTTAGCCTCCTGAGCTTCAGCCGCTACAGTCTCCACCCAACGAAACATTCTCACGCCAAACAAGACGCTGTGATTTCTGCTAATGTGTGCTTATAATACAGTGAGGATAAAATGTCTGACAGCAGATCTGCCTTTGTTGAAGCTCATTATTGAGGCATTCTGGCCAGTGTAGTAATCATTTAAGCTGTAAAGCATCACTCTGCTGCCTAAACACAATAAACAAACCTCAAACACGCTCTGTTAACCCCTTAGCAGTCCTACAAATTTACAATTAGTTCCCTAAACCATCCAATGTACCGTGGGCGGTACGTCCGACTGCTAACAGGTTAATAAAATAGGATATAACCGGTTTTGGCTAAGCCTGAAGAACTGCTGTCAGAGACTGAGCGTTATCTCAGTCGGCAGCACGATAAGTAGATTAACGTCTGGAAGGCGACTGCTGGAGAGGGTCTGGCTGTCAGGATGGATAAGGAGCACACCTACACATCTGCAGGAGGAGAAAACAGGATGATCATCCATTTATTCACTAATGTATAACACGAACCACTTCCTGTTTGTGTTAACACAGATCTGGTGAAACACTTGTCTACTACAACAGGCAGCACAACCTGCTGCGAGGTCAGGAGACAGCATCAGACTCACGACCAGGAGT